CCAATTGTCAGCGAGGACATGGCTGAAAGAGGGTGACAAGAGGTCTAAAGCAACAAACAAAGGAGTCAGTCAGTGAGTGAGAAGAGATTTTAACTAAAAAGCAGCAGAGGATATTCTTACTTTCCCAGTACTTCAGGCTGTTAGTGGTGTAATGGTCATTCACACTTCAAGAGATTAGATACATTTAATAAAAATAGCTAACCGTCAACAGATAAAATTAATAGATTTCCAACCACTTTACCCAGAAGGACAAAACCTGTTTAAGTAACTCTTGCGTGCAGATGGACAAACTAAAAGGGCAATTTTCAGCTAGCCTGAACACCACCTATCTCCCAGCACTGAGTCAGAGGAGATGCGGGCTTCCAAGCAGCAGCTCAGCAGCTCCAAGTAGGGCAGTAAGTGGGGAACAAGTTGGACAATGTAGATTTAGGAGATTTTATGGAATTCAGGCAATTTGACCATGGTCCAAAGAGCTTAAGGGTCTTTTCCTAGATCACACATTAGCACGCTGGCAAACTGCTCACACTCTGGCTTCCAGCCAGAAGCACTGTCTTCCATCCAGCTGCCTCAGTGGACAGAAGAGGGAGATCTCAACTGAAGGAATTTTTTGTCTCAAGTTTCCAAGCTAGGCTTGATCACTAAAACAATTGAAAACATTTACCACAAAATGAAAACAATACGTAATTGTATTGTTTTCCAGCTATTCTGGTGCCAAAACCCAGCTTTGGTCAGGAAACCAGTTGTGAATTTGACAAGGAAGAAACAGAGATAAGTAGGACTGCTTACTTGCCAAGAGAGACTCCCTAAATTTAACTGTCCTGAACTTTGTGAAGGAAGAGGAAGGCCTTCAGCACAGTTCAGCCCTACTCTAAAATAAAACCCAGTAAAGTCAAGGTGACATCTATGATATGGTACATCGCCACATAAATCACGAATCCATTACACAGTGTAAGAGCCAGATACAGTTGATAATATAGCAATTGTAAATCCAGGTGTATATGTATACTGAATGTATATGTATACTGAATTACATTACTTCCAATGGTGAAAACAATGCAATTGTCTCTCTTTAATGCCAATTAAGCAAGTAGCTTTTGGAAATCCTGGCTAGTATCTAATACTATCTTGAGCGAAGCATGGAAGCTCATGGTTTAACTCACATGTACCAGCAAGGTATGCACGTAAGCAATGAAACCCTTCAGGACAGCTCATATCACAGCGATGGTTTCAGCACCTCAACGACAAAACCAAACAAAAAAAACCCCCAAAACACCAAAGCCTCCGCTTTCTGCTGCATTTTTCTGGGTAATAAAATAAACAACTGTAAAGACAAAGAGGGAGCTGAGGTTTGATCGAAAGAGCAGTCAGGTGAGAGGACTGCAGGATGGGATCTGATGCGTACTGAGTCCCTGTAAGAGGAGCTTCAGAGAAAGACATGAAACTTTGAGGTGGAAGTGGTGGAAAGGTGAAGGACACGTTGTCAAGAGATGGGACAAAGGATGGATGAAGCAAGAACAGGAATTACAGATTTTGAAAGAACTATCTGAATGCTGTAAACACCACGGAGGGAAAAGAATTGTTTAGGGTGGTTCAGTGATATTTCTAGTAGTGATGGGATGCAGATAAGCAAGTGGAAAATGTAAGCTATTAAACAGGAAATGTTTCCTGACAGTGAAGCCTAATAGACTGTGGAAAAGTCTCCTAAGGGAAGTGGCAGGAGCCTCTCAGACAATTAAAACTAGACTAGACAACATACCTTAGGGCACAATCATGCTTAAGACCATAGACAACTGACTGGATGTGACAAGTATCTCTCCTTCTTGCTACAGAAATGAAGACAAAGAAACAAAGGATCATTGTAAATGCAAGATCCCTGTATGTAGGGAGGAATCACACCTGACTCAAAATCCACATGCAAATCTTCCTTGTAAGTGACACAGGGTATGGCAGTTTGGTTCCTCCTGAGAGGTACCTACACAAAGAACCTGTTCTCTAATGTTACAATATCACCAAACAAAGAAAAAATCTAATTAACAGTAAACATTAATTCATTGTTTGCTCAGGTATTCTGCAGTGTTTAATTAGCTCATTGTTTGGAGTTTAACAGCTTTAAGGACGTATTTCTTACGAATTGCTGAATTTATATCCTGTTCTACATTACTGATACCATCCAACTTTCTAAACCACAACTGTGATAAGTACTTGATAGAAAAACACTTACTTTGTTAGTTTGTAGACATTGGAAAAACTGAAGAAAGCCTGCAAAAATTAGACACTAGTTATTTGGTGTGCATTGCATTCAACAGAAGAAGGGAAGGATATTCGTGAGTGCTGGATTGCTTGGCAGCAGTAGCCACCTGAAGGCTGGACTTTCTTTTTATTTCAGTTTTCTAGACTCTATCTCTCCATTGTCATGATGCACAGGCTGAAAGACTTTTAGTGCGCTCATGTGTTGATTTTCTAAGAGATGATTGAAACCCACAGGCTTACTTGAGAGAAGCTGCCAAACACCTATCAGCTGGTTACAAGTCAGTAGTTGCTTTGTTTGAGAAGGGTTGGACTCAGACTCAGCAATGAAAGGCTCTGCAGCCCACTTCCATTTCACTCCTCTGATACAGAGACCACTGACAACATGATTGGGTGATATTTATCTTCCCTCAGTGTTTCCCGTGGTTGTCCTTGATTTTTGTGGATCTATGCCCATGGTCTAAAAGCTCCACAGCCTTGCACCCAATGAACAATGAACTCACTGCACTTACTCTAAAGTGTGAATCATATTAGCCGTAAAATCTGATTTGCATTACAGTAATGCTTTGATGTCTAAGTCATGATCACACTCCCATTGTGCAAAGCACTATATGAACCCAGAGCAGTAGACCTTGTTCCAAGAATTTACAGCAAACAGACCGGAATACCTCAACTGACCTTGATTTCTCACCTGACAAATTTCCTCTCTGCTTTAACTCAAATCCCAAAGAGTTTGAGACAAAATCTTTTCAGGGAACTATCCTTTCATGCCACATAGATGCTACCACCTTTAAACATTTGCATCCAGGTTGTTCCTCCAGTGCAGCATTTTTTTTTCCTGAAGTTTTGTGCACATACAACTTCCAAAGCAAGACCTCTCCCAGTCACAGGGTGCTGGTACAGTGGATGCTAAAGAATATAGGGACCACTGGGCTAGTGCAGTTGCCAAAAATACACCTGCACTCATTCATCCATGCAAACACTAACACATTTAAAATATAATCAAGCATTAGGAAGATTGGCTTACCTGGTATTTGGTAGGCATTTACTCCTTAAAACATTGATGAAGGCACTTGGTGACATTCTGTCTTTGGGACTTCAGGTTCTGCTCTTTCCCAGTGAAGATGAGAAATGGCTCAGTGCTGCTGGAGGTCTGGCTGCTGTCTTGTGTACACAGGCAAGACTGCAACAACCAATTTTAGAACTAGCAGGTCCTAAAGCTAAGTTTTGTGTATGTCTAGAAATGTGTAAAAAATTAGAAACTTGTCCAAACCAATTTTTGTATAATTACAAAATATGATTGGAACAGCAGTGCAGAAATCACTATGGTTCCTACAACACAAACGTAGTAACACTGTTTACTAAACATTTGCTAAACTAGAAAGTGAGTCAACATTATTTATCGTTTTCAGCATAAATTTAATTTTTGTGATAGACGAACTAAAACAGTGTCATCTTTTCAAGTTTATATTAATTTCTACAAGCTCACCCAAGTCTCCATCTGTTATTATTGGTAGCCACATTTTATATCAAGGTTCTATTTACAACTTCTTCTAAATACTTGATAGACGGATGGTATTGCTGTGTTACTGATATGAAGATAACAGTGTTAAAAGCAGTTATGAGCCTTCCAGCAGATGTGTTATAAAAGGGCACAAATTATGGTAATTAACAATCTAATGACAAGACTAATCATTAAAAATTGATAATCACTAAAAATTGATTAGCCATTTGTTAAAAGGTCTATAATTTACTAATCACAGGCAAACAGAAACTGTAGTATTAATCATGATTATAAGAGGGTTTGAATTGTTGTTGATCAAAGTTAAATAGACAAAGAGAACTATTTCTGTGAAGTCCATTTAGACTATATCACTCTTACAACCAACCACTGAAGAATGCTGCGATAAGCAAAATAGCCCTTACTTTCCTGGCTAGATTATTACATACGTAAGTTAAATCAGCTTTTTTCCTCTGAATTTCACATTTCTTCTGACAATGAAAAAGCAAGATTAATACATTCTATTGAAAATAGAATGGTTTTCAACCGTCTGTGTGGGATCATAGCTGGGTTAGAATGAGGATTCTTCAGGAAATTAGATCCTTCATTTCTTAAAATTCCCGATTGCACCAAGTAATCTTTAAAATAGTTCCTGGAACAGAATCAGATAAGTAATCTCACAAAGTGATTTTACAAGTATATGAAAAGATGGCAAGTACAGAACTGATAAGAGAAAGTTTATTTTAACACTACATAAATTCAGATGTAGAACTTTTACCTCAAGAAGTTGCTGAAGCCAAAGTTTCAAAACCAAATTATTTAGACCTGCAACTCATCCAGAGTTCTAATATTTCATACTAGCACAGTTTTTGGAAGGAATATGAAAAGGTGTAAACTGATTCACCCAAGACCAAGAGGAGATCTAGAGAGAGACAGAGCTGCCTACTGTGGTATTTTTATGCTCTCTTCTGAATTATTTCACATCAGAACCCAGACAGACTGGCTGGATTATGTGCTCCATACTTTATAGTCAGAGCACTCACCTCTTATTGATCACTGCTCTTTGTATTTTTAAGAAATGAAAAATCTTACTCTAATTGGGCAAGCAAATATAAGTTGTCAAAACTGTGTGGCCAGTCGTCACTCTGAGGATCACAAGCTGCAACTCCATTTCCCATCTACTTTCTTAGGGGACCATTTGTACAGTTTTTCATTCATCTAATTTTCAATATCTGATTTATTATATTTTTAGTTGGAAGTCATTGGTGCTACCAGTCACAGAAGTGTGAAGACCCACACTGTGCAGGTATGGCTAAACAATTTATTCCTCCAGCCATATTAGTTGCAAAAGGTCTCTTGAGAGAAATAATGCAAAAATTCACATGCAACAGCGTTTAGTGCTGCATGATCATGCTATTTGTGTTATAAGTGCTTCACAGAATACCTAAAGAAGGGTATTTTGAAGATACCCGTGTTTGTTCTAAATCTACATTTGGTTTCAACCAAGGCTAACACTACAAATATAAAAATAACTCTACATGTGCTCTGGAGGTAGTCATCTCAGCAAGCTGGGCACAGCCAGCTATTGCCATTCTTAAGGGCAGAGTTCTGAAAAAACCTGATGCTGTACATACAGCTGCACCCTTTCTGTTAACAGCAGTGCCCACTGAGGCTGCCTGTTCCCCTGCTCATCCCTGTGTCCTGCCCAGTCCTCCCTGGAATGGACTGTGCTGGAGAAGGCATTGCACACCTCCTACCATCACCACCATCACTTTTTAATGTTTTCATTATAGTTTCCTAGTTTCTATAGTTCAGCCAACCTCAGCAGTAGTTCACTTTCTATTTTACAGTCGTTTGCCTGTGTGTATGTCCCTGTTAAGCTTAACAGAACGTTTTTGAAACATAACAATTATGTACAAAAACGATACAAAATTAAACAATTAAGTGTAAAAAATGATACGCTAAGAAAGTTCCTGTATTAAATTCCATGTCCAAATACTTTTTCTTCAAAGATGTCGCAAATTTCCCAAGTGAGAATGTATTAACTGTTGGGTGGTTTGATTTTATCAAGGATTTGTAGTCTACAGAAATATTTTTCTTCATCCTTAAATAGATCCTCGAGAATGGTATCTAACAGACGCCAACTGCAAAGGAAGCAAACAGTCACCTATTGATATTGACACCAAAAATGTCATTTATGACAAGAGCCTTAAGCCCTTCAGTTTTGAAGGATATAATGTGAAAGAGTCTTCAAAATGGACGATGGAAAATAACGGACATACAGGTAAGTACTACCAAATATGTTATTATGGGATTTATTTGTGCCTTCACTTGGAACCATCCATTCCTTTCTTCCATGTCCTGGGCAAGGTGTTAGGTATCACTATGGCTACTTAAAAGCATGGAAGCGAAGATAAGATTGCAGAATGCCTCCCGAACCAAGGCTTTCTGGGGACTTTCTGGGAATGATCTCGTTTTTGGACTCAGCAGAAATTGGTTGTGTGCATGTGCAGAAACAGAACTCGAGATGTCTAGGGAACCTCTAAATCAAACAGCCTCTAGGACTAGGAGGCAGCAGGGAATAAGGCTTTAGGACAACAGCTTTGGCAGAGGTATATAATTTCTGCTGACTCCTCCTGTACCCTTGATTTCTGGGCTTGCCTTTTCTGACCTTTGCTTCTGCACAAAAAAGAAATCTGCTGAAGAACACCATAACCTGAGAAAGTAATTCACCCAGTGGCTCGCAGTGTTTGCGTCTTACTCATTCTTCAAATAATGAGCTGAAATCTCAGATTTCAACCTGTATTCTCTGGAAACACAGGTAATCTAATATGAGCTTGTTAATCAGCTGCTTACTGATTCAGTAAACAGTGAATACTCATTTAGTACTGTTTCACTTCCTGCACTTTTCTTCACCAAAAGCAATATTAATAATGCTCCAAGATGATGTTAAATTATTTTAATTTTTAAAAAAATATCTGTAATTGTTCTTAAAATCTTGGGTTGGTTTAACCACCAAATCTCTAAAATGGAAAGTTGCAAATAGCAAATATTTTCCTAACTTAAAATGGAAAGGTAGGAAGGCAGACACCTAGGTCAATTTTCACAGCCAGAGATTCTAGTTTAAAATATCAGTATTTTGACAGAATAAGAAAAATACATGGCTTGACTTTTCAGTAGTAAATGGGTTAATGACTTTCTTATTGCAGAATTATATTCCAGAATCTCCATATTACAGTTGCTGTGCACAGAGACATCTTTTACAAAGAAATCAGTATTCATACGGATCGGTCAGAATTTTCATCTTTCCCAGACATGCAAAAGGATTAGATTTTTATTCTTGACTTTTAAAATTTCTTCCTTCTGAGGGCAACCAATTCCTGTGATTACAGCCAAATTACAGCTGCAATTAGAAGCTCTACGCGAGATTAGACTATCATTATGTTTGATGATGTGCAGATAGCAAGGGTCAGTGTCTCAAAGGTCCTACAATCTAAATAAACGAAGCCAATAAAGATACATTACTCATTCGTTTACAGATAAAAAGTGAAGTAACTAAATGAATCATGCAAGCTTCCAGTTCATTTGAAATTCAGAACAGAAATGAAATCTCTGGGGCTTCAATCCAGGTCAAAACAACCTTTCCTATGGAAAGAAAAGTACTGTGCTTAATGCAAAGGTCTTAATGAGTAATTTTAAAAATATATCCCAAAAGTCTCAAGCACAGGAAGTGATGGTGATTTATAGCTAGAAAAATATCTTCTAAGAGCGTTTTGGTTTGCTCTTAACAATAGATCAAACATCACATTAAACAGATACAAGGACTTAGACACTTCGGCCTACGTAGCAACACTACCCTAAATTAAAACAGAATAGATGCACAGCTTGAGCTTAATAATAGTGTCTTTTAACCCTACCTAAAATAAATGTTACAGTGCAGACAATAGGAGCTAAAAATGATGCTTAAAAAACACGTAAACTGTCATCAAGTTTCTCTTTAAGAATATTGTGATAGAGGGTGCTCTCCTAGACAAAAAAAATAAGGTAAATAGGGTTTCCTGAAAGGTCTAAGTAGCTCTGACTCCTGGGGTTATAACGACAGTGAACAAATCCCTACAGATCCCCTCAGTGCCGTCAAGAAAAGACAGCCTGCTACCCTGTATCCTTCAAAACGCAATTAACTGATGAAACTCCAAAAGATACACCAATGAATGCCATAAACATCTATAAAACCCTTTCCCCAGGACAATTCAAAGTAGTGCTCTGCCCTTGTCCATTTTACAAAGGGAAACAAGTACCATCAAATTTATTTCATTTTTTATTAATTCAGCTGAAGTCATGGGTAGCTCAGCTTTCCAGCAAGTAAGGTTCTGCACAAGGCATTCCAGTTCAGAGAGCAAATCCTAGGTAGAAAGGAGAGCAGAGATCCAAGAGCTGTTGCATATTACTGGGACGTGGGCTATGATATTTCTCCCTTTCATCTTAAATTAGTCTCAACTAGCATTTTGTAAGAGTTCAGCTTCTGCAGACTTGAACTTTGGGACCGCTCGGTATGAAAAACCAAGCCAGAACTTTAGGATAAATGTGAATCTCATGAACATGCATCTCTCTAGGCTTAAACACTATTAATGTAAGATCTAATATTTTTAAATTAAAACTTCTTATTTGTTTCCCCCAGTTAAAGTAAAATTAAGCACATCTCCTAGAATTCGAGACGGGGGCTTGGCAAGAAAATACAAGGCAGTAGAATTTCATTTCCACTGGGGAGCACAAGGTGTGCAGGAATACCTTCCTGGGTCAGAGCACAGCATAGATGGAGAGAAACAAGCCATGGAGGTAGGTGAGACTGTTTGTGGATTACAGCTTTGATTCGGGAACTCCAGCTTCTTAAGATCCCATTTCACAACAACTGCTGGCTAGAACTCCTATGAAACCCCACCAGTGGAAGTAACATACCAAGGACACATTGCTTGTTAATCAGAACTCACGGAAAAACACACAAGTTTTGCATAGCAAAGGCACAGGAAAGACAACAAATATGGAGTTATGTAGCCTTTTAGGAGGAGAAGTGTTTCAAAGTCTATAGAGTCTGATTACACTCACACTGCTTATCTAGATTATATATTCATTTCTGGCACTGCAGCCATGAATTGACCTATGCAACCGAAAAGAAAAAAAAAACCAACACATTTTCTTCAAGGTGAGAAAAGTTGTCAGCGCTGGTACACATGGGTTGGTGGAAGGAAACCAAATCACGATGTAAAAATCTGCCTGTTCCACTGCGCAGGCTGAAACTTGAGGGCTGCAGCAGTCCATAGCACTTCACCTTCTGTGAAGATGTATGAAGTGATCCCATTGCTGATGAGTGAAGTTTCAAATTATAGTTGCTTATCCTGTAGTGCCTGCCTTGGGTCAAGGCCCTGGGGCTGTCTGCCTGTCCCCAGTCTGTGAGCAGCACAGCAGCTCCAGCCCCACTGCCGTGTCAGTGCGGAGAAGAAGCCAGGCTGCACTTACAACAAGGAACTGTAGAGGAAAACCCACAAATAATTGGCCTTTACTATTGTGTTACAGCTTCATATTGTCCACATCAGAGAAGATGCTTCAGATATAACAGAAGCAAAGAAAAGTGTCGATGGCGTGGCTGTGTTAGCATTCTTTGTAAAGGTAGGTAGCCAGATTTTTAATTACTCATGTCAAATCCACCAGCAATTTGGCTGAGTCATTGATTGTGTTAAGGTCACCGTAGTTCCTTTACCCTTTTCTATATTTTGCTTGCTGCTATCTTTTATCCTTGTGGTTTTTTACTGCTTTATTCACAATTAATTCAAAGCAACCAGTTGTTTAGAAATGCATGGCTTGGAATAAAAATATTTCCATTTCAGATTGATGAAGAAAATAAAAACTATGCAACTTTAATAAATGGACTGGAGAGTATTAAATACAAAGGTAAGACACGTTCCACTTCACATCTGAACACAGATGTGACTGATACCTGTAACCACACTTGTTACAAGCAATATTTCCACCTGGGTTGTCTAGGGATAACAACAGAAGTGGAGCCTTTGCCACTGAGCTCTCTTCTCCCACCTGAGAAAGATCTCAAGAGGTACTATCGGTATCAGGGCTCCCTCACCACTCCCGACTGCCATGAGGGTGTCATCTGGACAGTATTCGAGAAGCCAATTGAACTCAGTATTTCTCAGGTAAGTCACAGAGGGATAGCCTGGAAGGTCTGCTTATGGTTCTTTGCTCCTTTGGCTGCCTGCTCACTCACACAATTTAACATAAATTTGTTAGCTGCTCCACCACTTTGTTCCTATGACACACACACTTGCTTGACGTTAGCCTACATGTAATCCCTAGTGTCAGTTTTTTGACGCTTTTAAATCACCTCTCAAAAAATGGCAGGAAAGGCGAAGGAAGGGGAAATGGCAATGTGAAAGGAAAGCCAAAAAAACCCACAGGTAAATACCAACTCAGTGCTTCATCAGCAGTGCTTCCACTGTAGTCATCTGCTCACGCACAAATTTCACTGCTTTTCTCCTACTGTCATAAGCATTAGGATACCAGAACAGAATCCTTCAAAATCCAAACTTTGAGTCTATCAGCATCAGCTTTAAGCAACCCATTTTTGTCCTACAGAGAGGAACAGGAGACTGAATGATGACTGGCTCTAAAATGCAGATTGTTCAGCTGACAGAGTACACGACTGAAAAATTCAGAAGCCCCGGAGTGGACTCTCAGCAATGCCACCAGACAGCAGAGGCTGGCTGAGAGCCACAGGCTGTATTTTAGATCTTACCTGCAGTGCACTCCTAACCACCTCAGCCACAGGACAATGCTCAGCCACACACAAATCAACATAGCACAGGACGCAAGAGTGAGCATCTGCTTGCTCTGGGCAGCTTCTTGCTGAAGCAGTTAGAAATTTGAAATGAAGAAAGAAATCCTAGTCCTCTTACTCTGTGTCACTGTGACATGATGGACAAGGACAGGACTGTGTGCGTCAAGAGGACTGGGTAACCAGGTTCTTGAGCTGAACAAAGCACTTGGCTCACACAGAAAGGAAGTCCCCATGATTTCTAAGATTAAAAGAAATCATCTGTTGTGACCTCTGGCAGTAGCCTCCATCACATTGTTTCCTGAAAGGTTTAATGCATCCATACAGTTCAAAACAATGCCACAGAGTAAGGCACTGCAGATTCACAGTGTTCCGCGGAAAAAGGATTTAACAGTCCATTTGTTTCTCTTGTGCCTGCAGATTTCTCAATTTTCAACAGTCCACTTTGGTGAGAAGAACTCAACGCACATGACGGAAAATTTCCGGCCTGTTCAGCACCTGAACGAACGAAAAGTGTACTGGTCCAGTGCCAGCACCCTCCTGCCTCCTGCGAAGGTTTTGATGTCGGTGCTGATGCTCACGTACATCCTGAGTTCTCTTTCCCAATGAACACTTCTGAACTCATTCAAGGTTCTGGGCTCTTTGGAGGGTTTTTGTTGCTGTTGTTTTTTTGTATCAAGCATTCTCTCTAACTACCAACTCATGAATCATATCTGAACATGGAATTTAACCTTTTCTTCCTCCAGACACTAAACAAGGAGTCTTGTTGCTGCTTTTACGTAAAATGAAACCAAATTACAAGAATTGAAGGAACTGTAAGATAAAGCAATGAAGATTTAAATTTAAAAAACCAAAAACACCACTTCAAGAAATCATTAGGATGGATTGTCCGCAAGCCTGTAGTTTTAACACAACACTGGAAGGACACTTTACAGGATATACGGAGGACCTGCAGCAGGAATCTGTTCTTAAGTGCCTAAAGTTTTGTTTACGTACAACACCGCAAATCAGGAAGACAGTAACACCTGGAGTAACCCTTATCATCCTACAATGTCCTACATGAAGGTACAATACAGAGCAAAGAAAAAATGCTCACACACAATTGAGCAACATCTCGGTCATCCTATCTAGTGAAGGATATGTGACAAATTTCATCTGTACTAATACAATCCCCTCCCTTCTACTCCCAGAATATCTAAAGTCAATTTTTAGATAAGGATACTGGATTCCTTTCATCATCTGACTGTGGATTTCAGGTTGTCTCTATTAAGCCTATTTATTCAGCCTAACACAGCATCCTGCCCTGGGATGCCCATGGCCAATATGATGTGCTAGAAAGAAAAAGGGAAGTTCAACCACATGTACCAGCTGCACATCTGTTGAAATACCCTCGCTTTGGAGGGCTGCATTTGAAGCATGAGACTTTGCATAATAAAATGGGACAGCTCAAGAAATGGCTCTTTCCAGTATCACTTCTTAGAAGCTTTTAGATTTCAGTTTGAATATTTCAGTGTAAACATTTCCATATGCTTTTTCTTTCTTTCTTTTTTTTTTTTGTATAGTAACATTCCTGAACTATATTCACATATGGCTAAGATCCATAGGTTTTTTATGAAGAATATTGTGATTTTAACTAATTTTTTTCAGATCTTATCCAATTACTTACAAAAAAAGCTCACTACACTGGCAAATGGGATTTTCTTATAGTATTCCAGTTCTCTCTCTGAAGACAGACATAACTGATAATTTTCTTTGGCTAATTCCACATAACACATTGCAGCTTCTTTTAGAATTCTATTTTTTGGCCACAGCAAAATAGAATTTCATATTAGTGGACTTGTACATTTTTCTGTAGGACAATGTTTGCAGAGATGACTTTATGTTACAGCTATATGGCCATTTGCAGGAAAATCATGACAATGGGACTAACCACAGCTCACCGAAGGTGAAAAAAGCAGGGTGAAAAATCATTTTCATACTTAACAATCAATAATAAAAGCTTAAAAAAACATATGAGAAAGCAAATTCACCTTTTTAAGTTTAGAGGAATGATTAAGATTTCAACTATACTTTTAGCTAACTGAAAAACTTTTGAGATGCAAACATAAAAGATTAAAGTTGAACAGAGACCTATATTTTCATTGCCTTGAGTTTTCATTTCTTTTGTCCTTGCTGAAGGGGAACCTACATAACATTCATTCAGAAAAGGAACGTGACTTTTTCCCCCTTATTTTCTTCACAACATTTAGGGCAGAGTTTGCATTTTTGTGGGGGGAGGGAGGGGTCTGCAGTACATTGGGATGTTTCTGATGTCAACAGGCTTCTGGAGATTTTACTCCACCTGGGTCACTGGTTCTTATCTGCACATCGTGAAATTGCTTTGAGTATGACACCTTGCTCAACACAGCTGTGCACACACCCAGCCCCTCAAGTAGAGGACAGTGAAGGAAAGGACACGATGGATTTACCCATTACAACTTCACCTCCCTACAGACACTTGGCTAGTTAACTTACTGGGATGAACAGTTGCCACCTTATCCATCTGCTGGACATCCCTGTGTTAGCTACATCCATTGCATCCCTCAATATCCCACAAGTAGGGAATGCATCAAGACATTAAGAGGAAAGATGCTTCATTTTCAGGCTGTTTTACAAGATGTAATAAATGGAAGCATTCTGAAAGGCTTGCATTTTACTGCTCTTTCAAGATACGTAAGCAACATGGTAAACAGCACAATCACATACAAATGTCCCGTAAGCTTGAGTCCAACAATGTGAATACTCCTCAGAATGCCTCCACTGAACAGTGCCTTTTGCATTAAATAAGCCCCCTGAATTGGCTGGGAATATGTGTAAAAGCCCCCCCATCCCTCTCCACTCCAATTATTTACTAAATTCATGAAGTGACTCTCATTTCATATGCAGCTCTCTTAAGGATGATTGGAAGAAACTATGGGGGATCTGGATCTACTGTCATTTAGTAATGATTTACAGGGCCAAATTTCACTAGGTCGTCCCTCTGTTTACCATGTGGAGAGAGAAGCATTTACAGCAACTAGTTATGATGTGGGAGGACCTTATTTACTATGAAATGTACTAAAACATAACTAAGAGGAAGAAACAAAAAACCTGCTGAAAAGATGGTTAGGCTTCTGCAAGTACTCTTTCTGCACAATCGTCAGCATGAATAAAACCTGAATAGACGAGTATGACTATTTTTACTGAGTGAATCTGAATTTTATGTCAATGAGGAGAAGGGAAGTGCTACAATCTGCATCTGTGTCAATGATCTAGTTCAGTTTGTTCTTTATCAGAGGCACCTCTTTGCAACCAAGCAGACACATTCTGTTCTGGTGCAGGATGTGATAATTACAGGACTAGTATTATTGCAGTAAATCAATACAAATCTACAGCCAAAGCTATTAAATTTAAAAAACAGTAAAAGACAGTAAGGCTTGAAATGGGACATTTGGTTTTCTTTTGTGAAGATAGTTATGGAAAAGTAATTTGCTGTTCCAAAGTAGCTTCAGGCACTGATTTTCAAGAATTTTGTCTACGCTACATTTGGCATGAAATCTCCTATACTGCGAAGAGTCTAGGAAACCACAGTAACTCCTGAAGAACTAATAGCCAAGCTCTGACAATACAGGAAAGGGTGGGGGAAGGAGCAGAGATATTTAGAAAGACCCAAAAAGAACAGTATATTCCCATGTACAGAAAAGTTAATGCAAAACTTTGCTGATACTTTTCACATATGTTGGAGCCAGAGTTGAAGACCACTTTGGTTCTGAAGGAGCAGATCTGCCATACAGACACAGGCCCAGCTTCCCTCCCCATCACAATCACCTGATAATCAGCAAGGGGAGGGAGGGGGGTGACAGGAGGAGGCAGGCACAAAAAGAATTCCTAATACAATATGTTTTTAGCAAAACATTTTCTCAGGAAGCAGAAAGAGACAAGGAAACCCAGCTATTACTCACAAGAGATATATTTACATTAGCCACAAAGAATTTTAACAAACTTGCCAGTTCATTGTATGGTCAGCTCCTCCTGCTAACAGACATGAGCTCAAAATGCACTTTTGACATGACATCCCGAAGTGGATTTCACAGGGAAGGCAGCATTTGCCGGCACAGCCAGCAGCCTTCCTATTAAACAGGTAATGTATAGCAAATCCATGCAAAATATCCCTCCATCCACCTGCAGCCAACAAAGGATACAGAGAAGCCTACCTAGGTTCTCAGGCACATTTTGGAGTTGAAGAAATGTGTTAGTACCACATGTAATGTCAGCCACCTCTGATACAGAGACAGGGAGGCCCGTTGCCTACTTCTGCACCTTGCACAGGAGATAACATCCCACCGTGAAAACAACTGTTCTTGGAGACACACAGCGCTTTTCAATAGAATTAAAAGTGGATGTGGTGATTTTCTTCCAATAAGCACTACAAATCCCACAATATGGGATTTACAGAAGCTTCAGTGACAGAGGAAAAATGTCATGGTAGCTCTGTGCAGCCAGAGGCTGCTGGGAAAAAAGTTTTATACAGGAGAAAATAATATAATTTTATTTCTTTTAAAGAGAAATGTAGGATTTACCAGTAAATGAATGTTTATCTGTGGAAAAGCCAATGAAACTCTGGCTAAGATGTGTTGAAGAAACACACATGAGGAAACCAAGACCGGTAGCCTCTGGCCACGCTTCCCAGCCTGACAGGCTGCTCCCCACAGACACAGGGGACAACGTGGGGTCGGATGGAATTCATCCAAGAATATT